AAGCCCTTGTTCCATGCTAGGCAGCACACTGGTCTCTGTAAATAGTCACGTGGGGATGATGAGCCTATGAGCAGAAAATGGTCTTATAATAAGGTATATGCCCAAGGCTGTGTATCTGAAGGGTCTGGGAGTCTGGGAGTCACAGAGAATAGAGTATCTCCTTGGGCTGGGAGGGCAGGGCAGTAGGGTCAGAATGGGCTTTCCAAAGGAGTTGGCACTGGCACAGCCTTGATGGATGTATCGGAAATTGACAGGAAGATAAAAAGTGTGGCAGAGAAGGCCAAGACGTGGAAGCAGAGGTCAAGGGGCATTTGGGGAGGTACGAGTAACCTGGTGTGACTGATGTGAACACACCGGGGTAATGGGGGCGAGACCAAATCACTGAAGGACTTAGAAGCCAGCTTTAGAAGTGTGTCTTCCTTCTGTGGTCCCTGAGGGCCACCACGAGGCCATAAGAGGGAAGCTGGGGGCAGTGGCGTGATGAGCTTGGGGCTGCAAGGAGAGATGGACCCCAGCAGCAGCCCGAGGAGGGAAGTGGCTCTGGGCAGGAGACACGCCTCGCTTGTCTGTGTTAAAAAGGAGCCCTCCGCTCTCCCCCACAAAAGCCCTGGGGGAGGCAGACCTTCTTCCAGCCGTTTCAGGCAGCCAGGCTGTCAGAGTGATGAGTCCTGCAGCCTAGAAGCTGAACGAAAGAAGAAAGTCCCAACAAGCTCCATTTCACTGCCCTTGACCTTGCAGTAGAGCTCTAAGTGCAAAATCTGTCATCTATTAATCTGTTAGAAGTTGACAAAAGGGACTTTGATCAGCGGTTGTTCCCCCCGCCTTCTTAAGTTTCCTGATGACATATAATAGCCCATTTCAGCCGGAGGGCCGGAAGCACGGCCATCATTCTTTTGCTCACTTCAACCCCAGTGGCCTCCCAGCCCTGTGGCTCTCTCCCCGCCCCGATATTAATTGGCCTGTAAGTGGTTACATGTGTTCCTTTTTATGTGTCAGTTGGAGTCTGTTATTTGAACTTCACAGCTATTTGGGAACGCAGGAGTGATGCTCGGGGCCATGTCACACTGGCTCTTACCTCAGGATTTTTGTCTTCTTCTATCCCCGAGTCCTTGATGCCTCCTACCCTCAAACCCACGCCCACCTCATCTCTCGCCTCTGAGTTAGGCCCCCTAACTTTGCAGCCCAGCTCTTGGAGCCACGAAGTTCACAGCCAGGAGAAGCCTTCAGAGGCCCACACCGTAGCATCTGTTTAAAGGAATTGAAGCCTGGGTGGGACGGGGGGATTTTTTAAATAAAAATAACATCTGTCGAGGCTCCATTATGTACATGTTTCTTACATGTGTTCTCTCATTTCATCCTCAAAATAACTCTGGGAGTTAGGAATCATGGCCATTTTTTTCAGATGGCGAAACTGAGGCTCTGGGAGACGATCTGGGGCCAGCTTGCCTCAGACCATGTCCTGCCCCTGACACTTAGCAGCTGTGTGGGCTTGGGCCAGTGGTTTCTGTGTCGCAGATCAACATCATCAACGATGGGTCTAGCAACAGTACCTACTTCCAAGGGCTGTTGTGAGGATTAAATTGATTTTACGTTTTTAGGGGCTTAGAACAGTGCCTGGTGCACAGAAAGCGCCTGATAAACGTCAGCTGCTGCTGCTTTGTGAGGCAGTGTAGTACAGTGGTCTGGGACGCTGATTCCAGAGTTGAGCCGTCCTTGGTTTCGATCTCTCCTCTACCGGTTCACTGTGTGGCCTTGGGTGAATTGCTCATTTTCTCAGTGACTGCACCCCAATCTACAAAGTGGGGGATATTCCTGGTGGTTGGGGCGTGTGTCCCTAAATGAAATGGTTAGTTCCCCACATCATTACCTTGTAGTGAATTTCACCAAGTGGCAAACCCCATTCAACCGCACAGAGCTTTTCATCTAATCCTTAGTGACCCATTTTCAATATGTTTTTTGGACTTCAAAAAATTACGAGTAATATCAGAAAGATGAGAAGATATTGCATCCAAAAAGCCAACATCAGAATGTAAAAAGGAACAGTGGAGGATCAAACTAAGAATTACACAGAGCTCTTGAAAATGAAAATTAACAGACCAAAACAATGTTTTAAATAACACAACATTTGGAACACGAGGCGAACTCTCAGAAAGTAAAACAAAAGGATAAATAGACTGAAAATAGGAAAGAAACATAAGAAAATTGCAGGATCCATCTAAGATATTCAGCGTCCAAGTAGTAAGAGTCCCAAAAAGAGAAAAAATGGAGAAAACACAGGGGAGGCAATATTCAAGGAAATAATACAACATAATATTCCCAGAACTGAAATCACGAGTTTCCTTGTCTGAATCCAGCACATGCTTGACACAGCAAATGATGAAAAGACCCACATCAAGGCAAATTGTTAGAAAACCAGGGATAAAAGGAATATTGAAAACTTCCAGAAAGGAAAAAAATGAAAAACAAAAACAAGATATGTATAATGGATCAGGATACAGGATGACGTTGGATTTCTCAACAACAGTCTTTGAAGGTGATTTACACCCTTGGATTCTATACCCAGCCAAACTATTAATCCAGTGTGGGCTTCCCGGCAGCGGCACTGAAAACTAGAAGCAAAAAAGCAACGTCTTCAAAATTCTGAAAAGTATTTGCAATGTAGAGTTCGTACCCAGCCAAATAACACTCCAGCAGAGGCTCTAAAGACATTTCTAAAACTGGAAATTCCTCCCAGATGTGCCTCCCATTTTCCCTGTGTCATGATGCTCCTGGAGGGGGTGTTCTGCTAAAATGAAGGAGGTCCACTAAGGAAGAGGCAGACGTGGGATCCATGAAGCAGGTGATCCAACAGTGGAGAAAGAGAAGGGATTCCTAGGACGATGCGGAGAGATGCCAGGATTGCTGCCATGGCCCGGGGATAGGGCTCCATCTCTCCCCGCCACCTTACTGAGACTGGTGCCGTGCGCCCCCTGACAGCTGACTGACCCTCGATCAAGCCCTGTCTGGCTTCCCGAGTCACCCCCACTGCAGCTCTCTGTGACCCACAGGAATTGAGGAAGACTCTGGTTCCGCCATCTGTGTTCTCAGTTTGAACGCCCCACCCCAGTTGCCTCATCTTTTAAACATGATAATAATAGCACCAGCGTCACGAGGTCATCGTGAGGGTGAAATGAGTGAATGTTTGCTGAGCACTTAGAACGGTATCCAGCACGTAGTCATGCAACATTGGTGTTTGTTAAATGGAACACGTTACGTAGTGACATGAAGGTAAACTTGTACTGTAGTTGGTTAGAAAGACATAAGTTTAAACTTCAGCCACAGCTCCCCATTGTCCTGTATAGCTAGACACTCCCAAATGTATTATTCTAGAGGCATCTCAACTTGTGATGCCAGTACAAGTCTGACCACATCAGTTCCTGCTGAATGCGCTTTAGCGGCTCCTCATTGCTCTGAGGAAGAAGCTGGAGTCCTCTCCCCAGTCTGCCAGGCTTGCTCTGCTGTCCTCTCCAGCATCACCTTGACCCAACCCTCCTTTTCTGCCCGTCTTCCATGCCAGCAACCTCCTCCAGTCAGCCCCTCAGGAACTGTGTCCTCCTGCGTCTGGACCTTCAGCCATGCTGCTCCCTCTACCTGGGCTTCTATTCCTGCCACCACCCCTCCTTCCTTCAGCTGGTTTCTACTCGCTCCTTGAATCTCAGCTAGATCATCATTTCTGCAAAGAAGCCTTCCCTGGACCCAAAGGTGACCTGTGACACATTCTCATGGCCCAGGATAGGTTTAATTCTTGCACTCAACATGCCATCTGCAATTCTTTGTGTCATTCATTCATTCAGCACATACTTGTTGAGTGCCTATTATATGCCAGGCACTGTTCCTGGCCTTGACGATACAGCAATGAGCCAGATAGACAGAAACCCGCACCATTGGCGGGGTGAGTGTGCTATCTAGTGATTACTGGATGTCTTCACCTTACTAAGCATCAGCGCCATGGCTAACGCGTACCTGTCAAAAAAAATAAATGTTTGCTGAGAAATAAACCACAGGAACAATGCTGACTTCCCCGAGAGAGTGAAGACGGGGGCTGAGGCCACCGTCCCCCTTCTATTAAGCGTGTAAAGATCTCCTAGTAGCGCTGGCAGGAAGGGAGTGGAGTTGCTGACAAGCAGTTTCTCAGGCAGTTTGGCAAAAGAATGAAAGAAGAAAAGAGAAGCCCCATCCAGGTGGAAGGGCGGAGTGGTTTCCTCAGCCATGCCCCCCCCCACCTTCCCCTCTTCACCCCCTGCTCACCTGGCCTTGCTGGTGACCAGGCCAGCCTTCCAGATGAGCTGGGGTTGTAGGGGTAGCCAGTGGCAGAGGCATTCGTGAGTGGGTAACCATGACTAATCTGGAGAAACAGCTCTGGCCCAGCGGTTCACCCCAGGCTTGTTTGTGTCTAATTTCCCCGGAGGCAAATGGGCCCCTTATTTTCATTTTGAGGTTTAGGGTTTCCCCTAGAGCTGGTGGGGAGACAGGCCAGGATGTTTTGCATACGTGCGGAAAGTCTTGGAGTTGGAAGTAAGAGATGAGGTCAAAGTGAAGGGGTGAAGGTGAGCCAGGTGGGGGGCACTCAGCTGAGCCTGGAGGAGCTTTGACATACTCCCCAATCTCTCAGTTGTTTCTTCCCAGGCCACTTTGCAGAAGCATTTAACAGTAACACCAAAGGAGACAGAAGGATTTAGGGGGTTTTTTTCCCCTAGGGGAAAGGTGGAGAGAGGAATAAGAATTAGGGAGCACAAGGCCCTAAACAGATGAGAATAGGCTCTATCTCTTGTACCCGAGCCAGGCATGGAGCTCAGCATAGAGTGTGCATTTCACACGTGCTTTATATTTTCACACACAGTTCATTCCACACATGAGCTGGAGGAACTGGGGATTACAAAGCACATCTCCCTGGATTGGGCCCAGCTCTCTTACTTCTGTCCCATAAATTATGGACTTCTTTTTTTTTTTTTCAGGTGTCCGCTCTGTGCTGGGCTCCAGAAGTACAGACACAAAGGAGAGAATCCCTGTGCCTTTGTCCTTGAGAAAGTCACTTCACATCCCTGACCCTCATTTTGCCTAGGTGAACGTTTTCTCTGCCCGCCTCAGAGGGTCATGAGGCTTACCCAGGACAGTGCTCGGCACATGACAAAGGGCTGCGGCACCTGTGGTTAATTAGCAGAACCCTCTTAAACAATCTCCAACTAACCACCTTGCCAGATTACTGGAGGCTCTCCATGCCCCGCAGCAAGCACGGCGCCTGTGCCCAGGACACACCAAACCCTTGAAGCTAGCAGGTACTCTCCAATTTCCCCCGCACGTCGGTTCCAATCAGTTGAGTTGTATAGGCTTATCAAGAGTTATTTGTGTTTGTTCTCAACCTGTTCCTATCACTTTAATTAAATAGTTCAATTATTATTCCGTAATGCAATGAAATATGAAGGCGTAAAAACAGAGTCGTTTCATCATAAGCTAAGTTGAATGCTTGGGAGGGAATCAATGCATGTGATAACGCAACAACTTCCTGGTGAATTAATTGTGTAAGTGATATAACTGTAAAGGTTAGAGGGGAAAAAAAACCCTGTAAAATTGAATCTTTGGCATTCAGTTTTATGTTCTCAGTCTACCTTAAGGAAACAGAGGCTATAAATTGTCCACACTACTTTGTGGGCGTGGTTTTTTGGGGAAAGATAACAAAGGGTTCAAATCAGGGAACCCAAGGGATTGCCCACTTTCTATGACCTGTTGGGTCAAGTGACCCTCATCAAGCCAGCTCTCATCAGGTTCAAGAGAGTTTGTTCTGTACGTTTAATGGCTCCCCATGAGCTGGAAGGGGGAGTGTCATGGCTGACTCAAGCCATATCATTAGGGTGAGCCCCTCAGAGTTGGGAGAGACTTCGTAGTCACTGGGCCCAGGCTCTTCCTGTGGTGGGCATGTCCACCACAGACCCACACTGCCAAGTGGCCATCAGGGCTCTCTATGAATGCCACCAGGGACCCACCACCACTCAGATCAGAACCTGGCTAATTTTGAATTGTATTCTGGTAAGCATGCTTGATGCCCTTCTATCTCCTCTTTGCACTCCGTGAAGAGCCCTCCTCCTTTGCCTACAGGTGAAAGAGCTCCATGACTCACCCTCAGCTAAGAAGACAGCAGGTCCAGAAAGCAGCTAACACTCTAGTCTGAATTAGCTTCATTCATATAATGTCTAGGAAGCCATTTTCCCAGCGGCAGCCGCAGGGTCTTCTTATCCCTTCTAATGATTCTTTATTCCTTCCTAGGGCCTTCCCACCTCTCCAGCCCCTTCTTCCAAAAGATCGACGCTTGACCCCATTTCTGGCAAGATTTCTGGCAAGATTCTACCTGACCCCTGCTTCAAGTATAGAGGGGTAAGTACTGTGCTCTGGATCAAGACAGAGTCTAATCCTAGCACTTTCTACCTCTGAGAACTTAGACTATATACTTAACCTCTTCTGAAAGCTGTGATTTTCTCATTTGTATAATGGGAAGTCAAATAGCTTATTGTGATGGTTCATTCATTCAACAATTATTTTCTAGCACCTGCGCTATGCCAAGCGCCATGCTGCTAGGTGCTGGCGATGCAGGAGTGGGAGAACCAGAGACCTGCTGGACCAGCGAAGGGAAGGAAGCTTTGCTGGGTGATGTGCCGAGACAGGGGTTGGCAAACTCTTGCTGTAAAGGGCCAGATAGTAAATATTTTAGGTTTTACTCTGCCATTTTAACACAAAAGCCAAGCAAGCCATAAGCAACACATAAACAAATGGGGGTGGCTATGTTCCAACAAAACTTCGCAAAAACAGGCAGCGGGCCAGGTTTGACCTGCAGTGTGCCCGCTTCTGGGCTAACGTGTTAATACTTTCGGACCGGAGGCCAGTTCCAGATCACTCCAAGAAGGCGCCTTCCAAATTGTCTACTGTTGGATTCAGCCTTGAGCGCAAGGAGTTCTTCTGGAGGGTCTCCAAAAGTCTTTCTCTCCCTCCACGAAAGTTTCGTGCCTTTTGCTTATGTGGAGCTGGATGTATTAGATCCCAAGCTGGCTTAATTAGCTTTTCCAACCTGCTTCCCTAATGGGGAAGTGCGAATTCAATAGCATTCAGTGGTCCCTTTTAAGGAATTCAACAGGCACGACAAAGAGGCAACCGGTTCTGTGCTGCTGGGCTGGGAGGGCAAAGTCAGGTCTCCTCTCCAGACTTCAGTTCGTCTCTCTTAAAATGAGAGGGCTGGACTAGTGGTTTCCCAAACTTCAGCACTCATTGAAGGATGCAGGGTGCTTGTTAAGAATGCAGATTCCCAGGCCACTACTTTGGCTCCATTGTCTCAAATTCTGGAGATGGCTTGGGGACTCTGGGCTATTAACACGTGCCCCAGACGACTCTGGAGGAGGACACCCCAAGGAGCAGAGAACTTGGCCTCTTCTAACCCTGACGTTCAGTGGATGTCAACAGAGTTGAGGGAGACTGTGTGCCTTCTCTGGGCTGGGCTGGGCTGTGGTGGTACAGAGAATGGTGGTGGTGAGAATCATTATCTCGTCTGCAAGGACGTGGCAGGATGTGGTTGACCTGAACTTCCTGTGAGTGGGGGGAACCAGAGAACACGGGGACAGATTCGCACCCAGGCAGGAGGCTCAGCCCAGAGGCCTAGAGTGTGCTCAGTGGGTATTGGGAAATGAGAGCGTGGCCCCACCTCCTCTCTCTGACCTTAGGCAGGTCATCTCACTTCTCAGAGTCTCAGTCTCGTCATGCATAAAATGGGGATGCTGGTGGGTCCTTGCAAGGACACCATGAGGAACAATAACACTTATAAAATCTCTCCCTCCATTAATGGTAGAAAATCCTCTTTCAGTGGAATGAGGGTCCCCCTGAAAAGATCCAAGGCCAAGGTTAGGAGACTGCTCCAGGGGCCGGGTTTTACTGATGACTCACTGCTTGACCATGGAGTGAGTGAGACCCTTGGCCTTACTGAGCCTCACTTTGCTTGACTGTAGAATGGGATGCTAATGCACTTATGCTTCCCCACCGCCTTTCTCAGGACTCTTGAAGACCGGAGGAGACTATAAGTTAGAGAGTAGCAGTCAGGGACTATGGCAAAAATGTCCAAGACCTTCCTCGTTAGGCAGGGACGCATCTGACTTTCATAATGCCCTTGCTTTCCATCTGTTCTTTTTCAGACAGAGGAAGGAAGACAACAGCATCTCTGAAAGACATCCTCATCATATACAGCATTCTCTCTTTGACTTCTTTCCCTCTGAGTTTATCAGTTGATTAAGAAACTCACTGGATACCAACCGTGTACTAGGTGTAGGAAGGGGGATCCCTAACCATGAGAGACTCACTGTCCGGTTTGGAAGATAACACGTGTGAAATAGCGCTGCAGTGATGCTGCTGATGGTGACGAGGCTGGAAACGATGGGGAGAATGAAGATGATGGTGGCGCTGCCCATCCTGAACCACGTACAGTCACAAAGCATGTTTATGACCATGATCTTATTTCATATTCAAAACTATCCAAAAGAAACCCAATTTCAGGGATGAACAAACGGAAGTAATAACTGCTCTGAGATCAGATAAGAAGAAAATAGCTGAGTTGGATTCCAGCTTCTTTTTTTGGGCTCCACAAATGCCATTGTCCCCGAGATATCACAACTTTTTTCCTTTAAACTGCAGCAGAACGTTGCAAAATGCACATGATCATTAGACAGTAACTTGAGTAATTGCCGCATGGGAAGTGAATGTGACCAGAGATCAGAGAGCAGGCCGGTCAGGAGATGGGGCTGTAGTGATCAGAAGAGGCTTAGAGGAGAAAGGAGCAACTGAGTGCCGCCTAGGGGGCTGCACAGTATTTGGACATGCAAGTGGTAGAGATGGGAGATGGGGTGGCATTCTTGGCAGGAGGAAACATGTAGGTAAGAAAGGAAGTAAGAGAGTTCAAGGTGTATCAAGAAACGCCAGACCCTCGTCTGACTGGAAGGAGGGCATGTACAGTAGATCTGCTGGAGAAGAGGAGAACTTGGGGACGGTTTCTCCCAAAGGCCTGGAGCATTTCCCTTCATTTTGCCATAGGTGGGAGGGTCCACCCATCTTCTCTCTGTCATCCTTGTTGCTTTCAACCCCAAGTCCCTTTATAATCAAATCAAATCGAAGGACTGTCTGCAGTCTTAGCCCGAAGACAGAGCCTGTCACTTCCGACTTTTTTCTTTTAAAAATGTCAGAGTGCTGCTGAAACAGGAACAGCATTGAGGCAAGAGCTGCTCTGACTCACAAAGAGAACATCAAAGAAGCAGCAGCGATAAGGGGCTGGCAGTAATTGTGTGTGTGAGCAGAGTTTTCCTGACACTCTTTGAGGCCTAGGGGCCCCTCTGGGCAGCCTCGTTGTGGAAAGAAGCATGTGGTTTTCAGAAACAGGGTGACTCACCACACAGGCAGAGTTTGGGGACAGAGATATAGTCTTGGTCTGCTGGGACTTTCAGCCAGGAGCCCAGGCTTAGGGTTCTGGGTGTTGCACATCTCAGGTCTCCAGTGAGCTAAGATTCATCTGGCCATCCAAACATTCAAGCATCCATCCATCCATCCACCCATCCATCCATCCATTTAACTAATACTATGAGCACACACTCTATGTAGGCCCTGTGCTGGGTGCAAGATGATATAGTGGTGACCAAGATAGACACAGTCCCCGCCTTCAAGAGGCTGACAGTCTAGTGAAGAACAGATGTATTGAAGAAATAATTACATGGGTAACTGAATCACTACTGTGATAATGCTGTGAAAGAAAATATAGAGTACCCTGAGGGGGCACATAATAGGAGAGCTGACCTGTTCTGGGAAGCTGGTCAATGAAATCAGGGGCAGATGCTAGAAGATGGTGATACTAATAACTGTATGATCAGCCTTTTAGCACCATCTCTCCCACCATCAGGGATGGTAAGAGTGTAGAACTCACCCTTGTTCTTTCAAACCCTCTCTTTCTCCCCCCTCCCCCTCCCCCTCCTTCTCTCTCTCTCTCTCTACACACACACACACACCCACACACACACACAACCCATGATGAGTTAATGGAACAATCAAGTACTCTTTTTTTTTTAATGTCTTTATTGGAGTATAATTGCTTTACAGTGCTGTGTTAGTTTCTGCTGTATAACAAAGTGAATCAGCTATATGCATACGTATATCCTCATATCCCCTCCCTCTTGCATCTCCCTCCCACCCTCCTTATCCCACCCCTCTCGGTGGTCGCAAAGCACGGAGCTGATCTCCCTGTGCCATGCAGCTGTTTCCCACTAGCTATTTATTTTACATTTGGTAGTGTATATATGTCCATGCCACTCTCTCACTTCGTCCCAGCTTACACTTCCCCCTCCCTGTGTCCTCAAGTCCATTCTCTACGTCTATGTCTTTATTCCTGTCCTGCCCTTAGGTTCTTCAGAACCTTTTCTTTTTTTTTTTTTTTAGATTCCATATATATGTGTTAGCATACGGTATTTGTTTTTCTCTTTCTGACTTACTTCACTCTGTATGACAGACTCTAGCTCCATCCACCTCACTACCAATAACTCAATTTCGTTTCTTTCTATGGCTGAGTAATATTCCACTGTATATATGTGCCACATCTTCTTTATCCATTCATCTGTTGATGGACACTTAGGTTGCTTCCATGTCCTGGCTATTGTAAATAGTGCTGCAATGAACATTGTGCTACATGACTCTTTTTGAATTACGGTTTTTCTTAGGGTGTATGCCCAGTAGTGGGATTGCTGGGTCGTATGGTAGTTCTATTTTTAGTTTGTTAAGGAACCTCCATACTGTTCTCCATAGTGGCTGTACCAATTTACATTCCCACCAACAGTGCAAGAGGGTTCCCTTTTCTCCACACCCTCTCCAGCATTTATTGTTTGTAGAACAATCATGTACTTTTGATTCTAATAGACTTGGGTTCAAATCCCATATTCTCAACTTCCTACCTCTGTGGATTTGAATAAATTACTCTTTCTGATCCTCAGTGTCTTCCACTATAAAGTGGAATAATGGCCTTCAAGAGCTAGTTTAGGATATATAGACTGAAATCATTTCTATCCACTTTCTAGCCTAGAGTAGACCCTCAGTAACCTTGGTCAGATTTTAACCTGCTTTCACCTGTATGCAACTGTATGGAAATTTCACAGTAGGTTTTCTTCTCCAGAGATGGCCAGAGCACCAGTCCTTTTGTCTGAACTGGCTGGTGGAGTTCTAGAACATACCCATCTTTGATGAGAGTCTGAATTTGATGATCCCTGTTGCCCCAGGCTCTTAGGATTCTAGAAAGCCTTCATGAAAAGAGCAAAAACACAACCTGGATGTAATACACTCAGGTTCTTGTCCTGATTCTGCCATTGATAGCTATGGAATCTCTTTTGTCTCTGTGAACCTCAGTTTCCCCATCTGTCCAATGATGGAGTTGGACTCAAGTCCTTCTAGCCTAACAGTCCGTGACTTTGTGATTCTCCAGGAGGCGAGGTCCTGGCCAGAGCTGGAGGCTGGTCCAATCATGGCATCAGTAGAGTTTTACGTCACGTCTTGTCCTTCCCCAGGATGCCCTTTCTGCCGGCTGGCTCCCAATGCCAGAGCTCCCACCTGCCCAGGTTCCTCCAGACAGAGTGGGGAGCAGGGCCAACCAATAGCTCAGGTTATTCACACTGTGATCCTTGCACATTAATGCGCTTTCTTTCCCGAAGGGGATGTGCCTTTGGAAAGATGAACCTGGGGAGGGTAATGCTTACCTCCACCAAGTCCATCAGTAACGGGGAACTCCAGGGCTTGGGGTGGGGAAATGTATAGCTTCATCTCATATCACACCCAAGAGGGTGCTACTTACTCTGTGTATAGGCAGGGTACCAACCCTTAGGCTAGGGGGAGGGGGAGGGACCTGGGAGTCAGAGAGGGCAGAGCTGAAGGGGGCCTCCTGCCTTGTGGAGCCTCTCCCAGGGGAGAAGGAGTAGCATCCGCTGAGGTTGAGGCTTCTCTGTTTTATGGTCTGGCTTCCAGAGACCAGCCAGGGTGGACCAGGTCTAGGGGCATATTGTCCTAGACTCCCTCTCAGCTTGATTCAATTTCCTTAATAGTTATATATAAGTCTGTTCAGATTTTCTATTTCCTTGTTATTCAGTCTTGGTAGATCATGGGTTTCTGCGAATTTATTTCATCAAGGTTATTCAATTTGTTTATGTATAAGTTTTGTTCACAGTACAGTCTTAGAATCATTTTTATTTCTATAGACTTGGTAGTAATGTTCCCATTTCTCATTTTAATAATTTGAGTCTTCTCTTTTTTCTTAGTCAGTCTAGCTAAAGATTTGTTAATTTTGTTGATCTTTTTTTTTTTGATCTTTTTGAAGAAACAACTTTTGGTTTTGTTAATTTTTTCTATTGTTTTTCTATTCTCTATTTTGTTTATCTCTGCTCTAGTCTTTATTATTTCTTTTCTTCTGCTAGCTTTGGGTTTAACTCTTTTTTTTTTCTAGTTCCTTTAGTTATAAAGTTAGGTTATTGATTTGATATCTTTTTTTGTTTTTAATGTAAGTGTTTATAGCTATAAATTTCTCCCTTAGCACTCCTTTGGCTGTGTTCCATAAGTTTTGGTATGTTTTATTTTTTATTTCATTTGTCTCTAAATATTTTCTAATTTCCCTTGATCCATTGGTTGTTTAGGAGTATGTTTTTAATTTGGTTGTTTGATCCATTGGTTGTTTGATGGTTGTTTAGGAGTATGTTTTTAATTTCCACAAATTTGTGAATTTTCTAGTTTTTCTTAATGATTTTTAACTTCACCTCTTTGTGAAGGTACTTTGTATAATATCTATCTTTATAAACTATTGAGACAATTTATGGCCTAACATATGGTCTATCCTGGAAAATGTCCCATGTGCACTTGAGAAGAATGTGTATTCTACTGTTGGGTAAAGTGTAAAGTCAGGTCTGGTTAGTTTAGTATGTTGTTCAAGTCCTCTATTTCCTTATTTATCTTCTGTCTGTAGTTTTACCCAATATTGAGAGTGAAGTATTGATGGCTTCAATTATTATCATAGGACTCTTTATTTCTCCCTTCAATTCTGTCAATTTTTGCTTCACATATTTTGATGGCCTATTATTAGGTGCATGAATATCTATAATTGTTATATCTTCTTGATATATTGAAACTTTTATTAATATATCCACTCCCATTCTCTTCTGTTTTCTATTTGCATGATATATTTTTCTATGCTTTCACTTTTAACCTATTTGTGTCTTTGGATATAAAGTGAGTCTTTTGTAGACAGTATATTGTTGGGTCATGTTTTCTTAAACCATTCTGCATTTTCATTGTTGAGTTTAATCCATTTACATTTAATGATATAACTAACAATGAGGCTTACTTCTGTCATTTTACTATTTGTTTTCTATATGCTTTATAGCTTTTTTGTCCCTCTTTTCCTTCATTACTGTTTATTTGGGGGGTTTTTGTAGTGAAACATTTTAATTCCCTTCTCATTTCCTTTTGTATATATGCTATACCTACCTTCTTTGTAGTTACTATGGGGATTACATTAACATCCTCAAGTTATAATATTCCAATTTGAAATGATATCAGCTTAACTTCAATAACATACAAAAACTCTGGTCCTTTAGGACTCCATAACCACCCTTTGTTATTGATATTACAAAATTACATAGTTATACATTGTGTATCCAAAACCAAAGTAATAGTTGTTTTTTTTTTTAGCGCATTAATCTCTTAAATCATGTAGAAACCATAATATGGAATTACGAACCAAAAGTTACAATAATAATGTTATTGTTTTTGATTTTTTCTTTTAGCATTTTGACTATATCGGCACAATACCTCTGGTCTCCAAAGTCACTGATAAGAAATCTGCTAGGGCTTCCCTGGTGGCGCAGTGGTTGAGAGTCCGCCTGCCGATGCAGGTGATACAGGTTCGTGCCCCGGTCCGGGAAGATCCCACATGCCGCGGAGCAGCTGGGGCCGTGAGCCATGGCCGCTGAGCCTGCGCGTCCGGAGCCTGTGCTCCGCAACAGGAGAGGCCATGACAGTGAGAGGCCCGCGTACCGCAAAAAAAAAAAAAAGAAAGAAATCTGCTAATAATCTAATTGACAATTCTTTGTGAGGAATCACTTCCCTCTTGCTGCTTTCAAATTCTCACTTTGTCTTTGTCTTGCGATAGTTTGATTACAATATGTCTTTGCGTGGGTCTCTTTGAGTTCATTTTACTTGGAGTCTTTTAAGCTTTTTTTTCACTGCTGCATTCTGAGAGGGGGCAAGTGGTAAAGTAGAGGTCGTCTCTGTGCTGTGATTTATAGGGTGCTTTGTCAGCAGCTGCCTGTCTTCCCCACAATGCCGGAAACTCCCCATTACGACTTCAGGTGAAGACCAATAAAGGGGCACCGTGGCCTCCTCCCATCAGCATGCAGTTCTGTACTAGGGAACGCGTGACAACTATACACGGTGGTTCTCACTAGGGCCGTTTTTCCTCCAGGGCACATTTGGCGAAGTGTGGAGACATTTCTGTTTGTCACAACCGGAGGGTGTGGTACTGCTGGCGTCTAGCGGGTAGAGGCCAGCGATGCTGCTTTACAATCCACAGGGTAGCCCCCGTGACAAAGAATTACCCAGCCCAAGACATCAACAGTGCCGGGGTTGAGAAACCCTGGACTGTGGGATAAATGGATGAGTCGGAGCATCCCTAGAAACATTCATTTTACTCATTGGTAAATAATTTAAAACAATATTTAATATTAAAATAAGTATACCTATTAAGGTATAGTAAAGCAGGACAGATTTTTTTTTTTTTCTTCCCCTAAAACCCTGTCCTCCCTCCACCCTCCCCTCCTCTACACCCTCTTCCTGGGGCTTAAGACCCATGAAAACCTCCTCAGGAGGCTAGCCAAGCTGAGATAAAGGAGAAGGTCCTTTGTCATCTATCTCACTGCAGGCCTAAGGGCCCACTGGATGGTGGAGCCCGGGAAGAGGGGTAGCACTGTGTGTGTGAGGGGGAACAATGTGGGCTCAGAGGTGAGAGTCAGGTAAGAGGGC